AAAATGCGGAAACATGGAAATGCAAAAGTTGAAAATGCGGAAACATGAAAATATGAAAATGCGAAAACATGGAAATGCAAAAGTTGAAAATGCGGAAATATGGAAATGCAAAAGTTGAAAATGCGGAAACATGGAAATGCAAAAGTTGAAAATGCGGAAACATGGAAATGCAAAATGTATTTTATGATGTCACGTCTGGGCCACCGTATCTGACCGTATGAAAGAGCATCACAAAATTAGTAACTATTCCGAAGTTTCGTTGCGAAATGTTGTAATAAATGCGGATAATATAGCCTTGCGAAGTTTGCCGTTTTTTAGTTATTTTGCATTACATTTTACAAACGGGAAACTGATAATCAGTTTGATTATCTGATTATCAACACATATATAGGTGAAACACCTGCTCATGGATAGAAACTGGGATTAATTTGGGAAAAAATTGACGGTTGGGAAATATGACAAACTTTCGTTTGGTAACCACTAACCAAATCAGAAATTATTTTGCAGTCGCAACAGAATTAGGTCTGCTGCTGGGAACTGGCTGTTTGACATCAACCTTTGCCATGGATTAAATAAAAATACAGATGCTCCAGACGGAGGCTGCCAAAACGCCACCGTAAGTACATTTAGATTTTTGTCATAAAATAGCAACGAACTTAAAATAAACTATAATGTACAGTATATTTGGTTAATAGGGTAAGGCTCTGATCCATACTTTTGTATCTCAAAGGTTTGTCAGTATTTAGATTTAAATAAGGACAAAACATTTGAAATTGGGCAGTTTGGAAATGTTATGTTTGGCCAATACGACAACGACACAAAGTCCATTACTTTGCAGTACTATGGAATTCTTCAGGAGAATACAACAAGGTATATATAGCAGCATGCAGCTTGCCTGTTTCTACATGAAGAACTACACTTTGAAAGCCCGCGTGCGCCTTGATCGGGTTTATTTACATGAACTGAAATTGAGAACTGTTTTCAAGCATAATGATTTTCGAGACGTTTTCTGCAGCATTTAAAGGGGCCCTACAGTCATTTTTTAGTCGAAAAGCCACCTTACATTTGTTGTTATTGGCGCTACTTGACATGCGCACCACGGCATGCATGCGTCTTCCGGTGTGCGGAAGTGCTCATACTCAAGGATGCTGCATGCTTATAAGATACAGTCAAACGAATCTCCGTGGAGTCCCCTACTTAAGGTGGCTTTTCGACTAAAAAATGACTGTAGGGCCCCTTTAACGGTTAGTTGTAAAATACAATGATTACAGACGATCGACTAGACGACTACGGTTTACAATTACACAGTATACGCTTACGGTTAACAATTACAGTGACAAACAAATAACTAGAAGTGAATAGTGATAGTGATAGTGATAGTTCCGCCTAAATATTAGTCTATGAACTCTAATAATTGTTCTATTTCTGTAATAAAAGAACGGTATTGCTCTGATAAATGTTAAGAATCATTAGCTGTGAGCGCGCTGTGCGCCAGGATTCCAATGTAGTTCTGTGGCGGTAGTTTGTCTTGTCAATTATCTTGCTATTGACTATTGTTGAAATCAATTTTATGGCCATAAGACCAAGCACGATTCGCAATATTTGAGCCCTCTTTATGTTTCTCGACCGATTCTTCACGTGTTCTTTGGCGTGTGATGTATACACGACCCGTCTCACCAATGCAGCTCCACGAACAATCGTCGAAATTTATGCGATAGACTACATTTGTTTGTTCTTGGGATGATGGTCTGCCTTTTGGTGAAGGGAGCATTTGTTCAACCTCTACACACGCTTGAACAAATGTTTCCTTCACCGAAGGACAGACCACCATCCCAAGAACAAACAAATGTAGTCTATCGCATAAATTGCGCTGATTGTTCGTGGAGCTACATCGGTGAGACGCCGGGTCGAGCGTTCATCACAAGGGAAAAAAGAACATGTACGTGAAGAATGTCGAGAAACATAAAGCGGGCTCAACGGATTTATTATTGCGAATCATGCTTGGTCTTATGACCATAAAATTGATTTCAACAATAGCAAGATAATTGACAAGGCAAACTACCGCCACAGAGCTACATTAATTGGAATCCTGGCACACCGCGCTCACAGCTAATGCTGACAATAATTCTACACATTTCCCAGCACAATACCGTTTTTACTCGCTGGG